GATTAAGACGATATTTCATCATGACACTGAACACGAAAGAGAGATTAACCTTCTTCAGAACCAGACATATTGCTTGCAGCCCAAGGTTTATTGAAGATCTTCCGTCGTTAATGGACCGTCTGCTATCTTTTTAAGGGAGACAAGTATTCGCCGTTCCTACACGACGCTGTCATTCTATACGCTCTGTCGTTAAACAAGACATTGACCGCGGGAGGTGACTACAGGAATGGAACGCTTGTCGCTGCAAATGCCAAGAACTTCTTCTTTAAAGGTAAACACACCCTTCACCACGACAGCATGGCCAACTCTGTCTATCGGATTGAACAGCTATATGTTGAAGTGAAAAGTTTTGCTGACCATACTAATGTCATTAGCACAGTCTGTTTAAACGTTGTCATGCTTATAACATTGCAATGGCTGTACTTGCGCAACCTACTAATATAACGGCAATCCGAATATAACGTTTGCTTGATGTCTCATTCAATGACCCTATCTGCCTTAGCCCTAAGATAATTGACAAATAGCTCTGACCAATTAGCATTGGGATAAGAGTTCTATAAACGCCACTTAGTAACAAAGTTATTCAAAGTCAAAGATCGACGTGCCCGTCTGGAAAACACGTATAACGGGTCCAGTCGGATCGACCCAGTACCAATATGTGAAGGGAGGGTCGTGGTTACCTTGCATAGACGGATAGGTCAATTCTATCCCAGATCCGAGCGTTGAGATACGCGGGAATATGCACGGCGAAGACAGAATGCTTGACATGACCTCTCTATTGTTAATGCATGTTTCTAAGGTATAGAAGATCAAACTGAACATTGTGTAATCTTCTGTTCTTCAGCTGTCATGGCTGCAAATACTACATCATAACTTAGTGAGATGCTCGTGATATTACTCGCGTATGTTGATACTTGAATGCGCAGGAATTTCTGGCAATGCCATCATCGATGCGAATGGTGATCGCATGCCTGATTACTGGATCACTGATATGTCACCAGATGGCGATTTCATCAGAATTGCCGAGCTCATCAACACTGAACAGGGAAGGCGGGTAAGAATACCCGTTAATTAGATTTATCAACGTGCAAAACACGGTTCATCATACACACAGTCAAACCCGTGTTAGATGCCACATCTATCAAACATATATCGAACATGCCCCTTTGCCGCCTTTGGCGTTTTCCTTGAGTTCCAGCTATACGGTAAAACCATTTCTACAGATCGGCAACCTCTCTATAAATGCCACCTCTACGTTCACCGGTCGTTACACACAGGTTTGATTGCATTTGCAATGCGGTAGACACGCTATTAAATATGTAGCATGAGGACGTTCATGTACCTTTTGACATTAGCATGGTGCTTTTGCATCTATAGATGGCCAATTAATTAATTAAAAAAAAACGATGCACTCACAGTGACCTGAAAACTTTATGAGTTTTAGTATTTTGATTTTAAACACGTTATGCAGCAGATTTAACGATTCATTAGTTGCGTGATGACCTGACAACATTCGTGGCAATCAACATGCTTTGAGCGATAACATCGTATGTGGTTTCTAAAAGGAATTGCGCCCAGAAAAATTATTTTCTAGCATGCTCGTCTCGCTTCCATTTTCTCTCTCTCTCTCTCTCTCTGTCTCTGTTTCCCCCCTCTCTCTCTCTCTCACTCTCGCTGGTTCTCTCTGTTTGTCTCTCTCGCCCTCTTTCTGCCTCGCTCAGCATATCTCTAGCTCTCATCTCTCTCGCTTCTCCCCGCCCCTCTCGCGCGCTCTCTGTTTCTGCCTTTGCTACTCTACATCGGATCCCTATCTTTCGCTGACTCTCTCTCTCTTTTTTTCTCTTTAACACTAGCTTTGAACACTCTATGTCTCAGCCTCACGTTCCTTTTCGCACGTTCTAGTTATTCCGCTTCGTCGGCCAGCCCTGGTGGCCGGGAGGGCAACGGGGACATGATCTTGCCCCTCCGGCTACCCCGCTCTGTGGCTTCGAGAATGAACTGTGTCCCGAGGAGTCAGGTGAGTGGAGGAGGGGGACAGTATTCCTAGATTTTACCCCAGTGTCGCGTTTGTATTGTAGCAGTACCGCTGGGTCGCTGAGCCATACTGGCCAGGAGGTATGAGAGGACATGCTTATGCTCCTCCCGCTGAGCCTCTCTGTGGCTTTTATGGCGAATTTTGTAGGGAGCCTTCTTACGGTAAGTGTGGTAACATATATACACTGCGCATCTATCAGAATGTTACGTGGTAAGACCTTCATATTACTCAGAATCTTTTTAGTATCAACTTTATCAAGTATTTTTAATTGGCATGGAAAGTCTAATTGATTGCTCTCTTAACAAGTTAAAATGTTTTTATATGGTTTATATGTTTACTGGATATAACTTATTGAATTGAGTGAGATGTGTCTTATATACGACTCGACGCTGGCTATGAACAACACTAGTTGTTGCACTTACATTGGCATACTGTAAGGCATTACATAAGGCAGCTTAACTACAGAACCTGGGCCGTAACCTGCGGGTGGGGGGGGCAAAGGGGCAGCTGCCCCTAGATTTAGGAGCAAAATTAAAAAAATAAATTGTTCTACTAAAAGAGAATTGTCATAGTCCGAATGAAGGCTGTACATGTACTCAAAAGTGCTTCAAATACCATCTCCTGCGATATACATTTTCAAAATGTTCTGTGGGAAGACCCCCAGACCACCCACCTGTTTCTCACCCCCACCATGAAATCTTGGATCCGTCACTGCCCCCCCCCCTAGGAATTTGCTCAGCCTACAATCCTGACAACTCTGTTATTGCCACTATCCCCCGGCATCATAGCATTAACAACAATCACATAACGCTCGATATACAGAGTTTATTCCTGCAACATAATCATATTAGCCCTCAACTGTGAGATCCACAATATCCCCTGGTTAGGGAAGGCTGTATTGACCGGTGTGAGCATTGTAGGCAGTGAAATAACAAGTAAACATTTTTTGTATGCCCGTAAGGCGTGCAACCATGAAATCCGTCAAAGCCCCTGGCGATTATGTGCTTGGTTCAAATTACCGTTTGGTTAATTTGGATTCGTAAATATTATATTCACTTTACATCCGCATAAACTTTAGTGCCATCTGCATTTAGCCGTATCCGATTGCATAACAGAAAAAGGTATATAGTATATATATATATATAAAGGAATATAATGGATATTTTGCAGTCTTTGCCGAGATTCGCAAAGTGTTCTATTAACAACTAGGGGATTAACTTAGTCAGACATAACTGCGCGTGTGGTCTAGTATTATATGGTTAGACCACTCTAGTATCATCTTAGTATCCTTAAATGGCTAGAACAACACCATTAATGCTCTGACAGCTAATGGCATTTTGGATGATATCTTGTTCACGATCCTAATGCTAGTGGCTTACGATTTCAGCAACAATGTATGTCATCATCGGCGTCGTTCTGGGCTGTGTAATACTCACCGCATGTGTTGTCTTCGGCTGCTGGATATTCAAGTAAGAAGTCTTTCCTTCTTCTTTGTCACCCAAGTGCAGATTAGAATAGTCTCACAATCGATTCTAGATGATTTTATCCTAAGCCTAATCCAAACCCCATCCATTACCCTAACCCTAACCCTAACCCAATAGATCATAGGTCTACGCTGATAGACGATAGTTAGGTAGAGGTCTAGTGGGCAGCCCTATATGGAGATGTTTCTCCCAGCAGGCGGCGGGTATACGAGTCACAGCTAAGGAGCACCAGCTGGAAAATCGACTATGATTCGATCGAATTACTGGATGTAAAGAGTAGACACTCCAAGAAGAGAGTAAAGGATGGTAGCAAGGTAGGCTTCATCAATGAGGTTCGCGTGTCCTCTAATTGACATTGCTGCGTGATCCTAGGGCAAATTTCCTCTCATTTAGTAAGACCATCTATGAAACTCACCTGAAGAGTGGATCGTGGAAATTAGACTATGACGAAATAGAACAGTTTTCCACTGGCAAGCATAGCAAGAAAAAGTTGCCTGGCAGCAAGGTAAGAAAATGTGAAGAGGGCGTGCCTTGTCGGTGACAGATTTCCCAATTTTATTGAATTCACAGCAGATATTTTGGACGATGTACAGAATTAGATCGAATGTCACGTGAACGTGAGTAGTGACGCAAATACTCGTGTCGCCATCAAATGTTCACCACGAGTCTCTCTGGTCACGTGAGTGTTCCTGTCACGTGACATTAATCGCGCGAATTAGATTTCAGTAGCGTGAAACTTCTTCTGCTTATTGACAGGTTCTTTTAAAACAACTAAACCGTAGCAGCCCATAACTTTACCCTATACGCCGCACCGCATGTAATAAAATGCGAGGGAAGCTAACGCTCACAAGGTAGTCAAAATTATGAATTAAACTCTTGTAACGCACAAGGTACATTGAGTTAATATTGCTTATCGGTATTTTGCTAGCCGAGCATGAAGAGTGGGTCGGATAAGGAAGCTGCCGGTATAAGCGGAGACGCATCAAAGAGCTCCGGTAGTCAGTCAAAGTCCCAGCCGACGAGCAGTGTACAAACCACCTACGCCAAAATCGGCTACTACCGTGGAACCATGGTCGCCATCAAGGACGTCACTAAGGAACACATCAACGTCTCCAGAAACGTCTTGAAGGAGTTCTTTACGGTATAAAAACACGTTAATTGCGTCCTCTTCGTACATTGAATATTAATCCACAAAACTGTAACGGCTATTCAATCGTATTACTCTGCTATATATGCAATACTACTCACGATTAAAAACGTGGCTAATATCTCATCAGTGAGAATATCTCATAATTATTTCAATTCACCTGCCAAATTAATTACAGCTTTTACATCAACAATTGCAATGGCAGATAGGACACAGTTCTTACTACGGGGCGCCATGCAGGACAGGGCTCAATTTTGTCTAACAAAACTCAATTCTGTCTCACAAAACTCAATTTTGTG